AAAAGTTAATTCATCCGTCCATCCTTGATTGGTTAGTTTTCTTTCTACTTTTTGTGGAATTAAAAACAGCTCGCCTCCTCCTACTTGCATTTTCTTGTTACCAAGATGGGTTTCTGTGTGTGTGTTTCTGAACAACTTCTTTCAGATTACATTAAAAGGACATGTTTGTACATAAACAGATTAGTTTTACATGAAACTGTCCACAAGTTTGGTCAATAATCAATCAAATGTATTGATGAAGAATGATGTGGTTCTTTTAGTTGTTATCTTATAACTGAGTTTGAGTTAATCTCGTATGAGTTGAAATGTAAGCAGGTGAAAGATGTTGGTTGGTTTGTATAGATTATTGCAAAAGAAAAGTATACAAATGGAGGAACATGATAAGCTTTTACCAATAATTAAAATTATTTTTGGTAATAATCCTTAAGAAACTTTTGGGGGATAAGGAATATATTTTTAAAGTTGTTTAACACTAGTAGAGTTTCTGTAAAAGTTTGTCAGTGATCGATAGTTTGCTGGGGATTTCGGTGATCTTTGACCCAGTATGACTTGGGAAGAACAGTAGTTTATTTTTATTAAAATGTCCACCAACACATGAATCTTCATATATCAATTATTCGTAAAGTTATCAGTAATTTTTAAAGAGATTCTGATTCTGATATTTGCAGATTTTTATAATGGACTTCAAGAATCATTGCAATCTTTGATATTCATGTTGAAGGAACGGTAGCTTATTTTTGTTATAGTTTGTTTTGGGCTGTACTGATATTTGTAATGTTAAAAATTTATCGATTTAGCTATGTCCGTCCGTCTGTCCAGTATATTACAGTTCATTGTTCGGTATGTTATCACCTAGGCCCTAGGTGGACGAAACCTATTGAAAAGGGTTTAGTTTGGTTTTTCCATATGGTCTCCAATTCTAATAGTGCTCTAGTGGCTTTACGATTGAACTTAGGCTTAAACACTTTGTTGTGCGTTTAATTTTTTCAGGATTTGTTGGTAGTATCCCTGATCTTCAACAATACAAATTTTCTAGGTTATTTGGTGCACTAAAGATTTGAAAATTTAAGACTAAGATACCGCATTTTAGAACATACATCAAAAAAGATGGGAGATATATTGATTTTGTCAATCCGTTTGTAACACATCGAAATATTTGTCTAAAACTCATAAAAGTACACAGAAAAAACTAAAAATATGTTTCAATTATCAAAATAATTGTATCAAGCAAGTTTTGCACCTATCACCAAAATGATGATATCAATTATCGAATTTGTAAAAAAAATTAAAAAAATACTTTTTTTCAAATAACGAATTAATCAGAACAATTAATATCAATAATTGAGACAAAAGTTAAAATTTATTAATTCATTAATTGTATAAATTAAATATTTAATAAAAATAAAATCTAATTTTTATTAATTTATTAATCAAATGAATTAGTTTGTTTGGTAGAAAATGTATTAAAAACCAATTAAGTTGATGATTAAAACAATCAAATTACTAACTGATTACTCACAATGTTAAAGGAATGCTTGACCTTTAACAATGCGTTGAGCATTTACAAAAAATATCACTTTATTATCAAATTTGAACATATAAAGTGTTTTATAAATTGTCAGGAAACTTGAATATTATATGCCTAAAATCGTATTGACTATTTAAGAATTTTAAACATTGTTAGCATAAGAAATCAAAATAAAATATTTAAAAAAAAAACTAAAATAGAAAAGTTGGCCAGAAAATTTTTTTCAATCAATTAAAAAACTAATTGAATCAATTGAAAATTTAATCAAATTTGTAAACTTAGGCTTAAAACAACGAGATAATTAAGACAAATAAAAAATTGCTTAAATTAAAACTAAAGAAAGAGAAAAACATGTTAATTGAAAATAAACTACTGATAATTTTTTCTGTGTAGATATATTGTGAGTCCTAATTAGACTCTAAGACTATCTTGCCATGTCCGTCGGTCTGTCTGTGACTTGAAAACACAATTGAGCTAGAAAACTGAAATTTATCAAAAATATTTTTAGTTGATTTGGTATTGAAAATGGGCAATATCGGTCTACGATTTCACCTAGCCCCCATATAAGGCCTTCTTCTTATACATATATACTATAACTCTCGTAACTAGCTTAAAAATCATGTATAGCTATAAAATTCGGAGCCGAACTGTTATTGTCAATGCTTATGAGGTCTAGATCATAATGGAACCTACGCCCCATATTAAGACCCCCAGAAAAAGACGCTTATAATTTGCTACAAAACTGCCATATAGCAATGAAATTCGACATAAACAATATTTATGGGAACTGAAATCTATCTGTCAAATTGTATGACGTCCTAAATGATCATAACACTAACGGTGAAATTCGACATAAGCAAGATTTATAGGAACTAATATCTCTCTGTCAAATCTTTTAAAGATCGGTCCAACACAAATTCAACCGCAGAAAATTACTAATGCTCATAGTTTGATAAAAAGTTGCAATATATGTAGTTGCAAAATTCGACATAAAAGGATTTTATATTAACTATAACTTCTCCGCCGTTAGCCCTATCCTCCATAAAAAGTCCTCTTTACAAAATGTATTGCATGCTAATAACTTGCTTCAAAATGCCAGTATAACAATGAATTCGATATAAAAATGTTTTATAGGTTTTAATACTTATCTCTGTCAAATTTAAAAGGATCGGTAATTGACCGTACTACCTACTAGGGTGATCGACTCGATTTTTCAACCGGTTTTAAAACCGGTTTTTTCTGCTTTACCAGTGTCGGTTTTTTCTTAATGTTGATTATTCGAATATCGAATAACCCGGTTTTTTCATTTTATTAATCAAATTTATTTCATTTTATTAATCAAATTTAAACATAAACATTAAGTTTTTCAAATTAAAACATATATTTTTTTATTTATAATGAAAAACCGGTTAACCGGTTTTTTCTGAATTTGAAAAATATCAACCGGTTTTTTTTAAATGTCAACTATTCGAACTATTCGAAAACCGGTTTTTGGAAAATGTCGAACAATCGATCACCCTACTACCTACCCATTTAAGCTACTACTCATGAAATGACTTTAGGGCCCATAATTGGCTTAAATATACTTATATAGTTTATTGAAACCAAAATCTTTTTAAAATTTTATGAGGATCGGTCCATAATTGATCACAAATCCAATATATCAAATACTAAAAGTAATAATTTCAAATCTTACTTATTTACGACACTGTGGAAGTCCTTTCCATTGGAACATAGCTATTTCTTTCTATGATGTAATATCGAAGTAGTATCGTAATCTTATATTCCAAAAATAATAATATACAGGGTGTCCGCAGGGAAGGTATACTTCTTTGTTTTGCCGCCATCTTGACAGTTTATATTTGGCAGTCGTGCAGTAGACACTTCGCAAATTTATTAAGGAAATGTATTTATTTATCTTATAGTGAATGAAGAAATAGGTGATCGAAGAAAGAGTGCCTGTAGGTAATATGCCCAAGCATGGACCATAACGTACTGCAAGATCGGCTGAAAACAGTACTACTGATCAGAAATATGTTCAAAACAATTCATCAACCTCAATTCGACGCCGCGACGGAGCGATATCGTCATATGATTGAAAACTTTTGGATGGAATGACTGCAAAACCTCTTTCCACAACAAGTGTTTTTAAGAAATGATGATGTTGATTGGCTACTACGGTCGCCTGATTTGATTGCTCCGGACATCTTTTTATGGTGATATCAGAAAAGCAAGGTTTATGCAAATAAACCAGATAAGCTTGAGCAACTCAAACAAAACATTCTTTATTAAATTAATGATTAAAGTAATGAAAAATGTTAATTGCCGAAATTAAATTTCAAAACTTTTGAAAAATAACTGTGAATTGCGTAAAGGAAGTTAAATTTCGAATGAGCTTTTTAGCATACACAAACAATTTTAAACATTGGGAACTTCTTCCGAATGACTAATTCTTTTTCACATTTCTAAATTATACTATGTAAAAATAGGGTTCAGATTTGTCGATACCATCGAATACATTGACAAAAAATCATGTACATATACATATATCGATATGGGAAATGAAAATGTTTGATCCCCTACATACATATATAGTAAAAAATTTCGCCTTCAAATTGTTCAATATTTAATTACAGTCGAAAATGTAATAAAACTATTTCTAATAGTTTACGGTAAACATCAGGACTTAAAAAAATATCTACCAATATATATTTTTTTATAAAACAACAAAAAAAACTCCAAACTCTCACACAACAACAGATGGCGTGATCGCAGTGAACAGAGTTTAAAAGAAAACGGAAGAATTCATTTGAAATCAATTTGAATTAGTGTTAAACATATAATTATATCATTTGAATTTCCTGTTTGTTTTTTTTTTCAACTCAAATTAGTTACTAAGAGATGGGTTAAAATAAAGATTTAATTAAGAGAAAAAACAATTTGTTCGAATAAAAAGTGTTGATAGTTTAAGGTGGGGTCGTCTAAAACTATTGCGTGCTGAAGGTATTTTTTATCTAGTTATCTAGGCAATGAGCGTGGGAATTGAATAAATAAAACTGCCAATTTGTTAAATTTTTTTTTGTTTCAAAGTAATTTTCTATATTTTTTTTTAGATTTAAGCATTTTTCCAATTGTATTTTTTTTCTTTTTGTCAAGTTTTAAATTACAAGCAAATTATAAAGATTATTACAGTTTTTAAATAACTTTTTTTTGTTTTTCTTTAATAATTGTTTTAAATAAATGACTTATTTTTGTAAAACATTAAATACTAATCGTATATTTTATTTATTATTATGATTTTTTTGTTAAATATTTAGTTTTAAGTTTTATGGTATTTATAATATTTTTAGTTTATTTAAGTGCATTGCTATTGATTATCCTTTTTTGTTTTTTCCTTTACTATTGCTTTTTTTAAGTAGGTTTTATTAAATTTGACTTAATTTATTTTTATTAATAAAAAATAGCTTAAAAATACAACTTAATTTAACAAAAAAATATATATTTGGGTTTATTACTATTTACAGTTTATTTTAAAGAGATACAACAGCTGTTTTTTGTTTAAGGATTTTTATATTTTTACTTAAATTAAAAAAAATATATTTAGCAAACCTACTCTAAGTGAAATCTACAGTTTATTTCAAATTTTTTCTGTTTTTTTTATTTTAATACAATTTTAGCCATTTTTGTAAGATTTTAGTTTTTTTTTGTATTTACACTTTTGTTTTTATCACATGTGATTTAAGTTTTCTTTTGAGAAGTTTTTACGGCTTTAACATCCCGCTGCATGCGATGCTTCGGCCCAGGGCTGTAAGCCATGTAATGCTGCCAAAGGTGCTCCATTGACCGTTTGCGTGGTTAGGGGCGCTGATGGCGGTGGAGCAAAACCTTTACTTATGGCCTCGGCTTGCAGTGACAACATTAAACGATTCGCTGCCTGACGTTCAGCTTCACGTTCTTCGGCGGTTTGGCGTCTGCAATTAGAACAGAAGGAAAATGTTTAAAATAAGTTGTAAAATTTTCATAATATTTATATAATGTTAGGAAATTAAAAAAAGATATATCCTTTAAAGCCACAAATAAAGCCAAAAATAACAATCTGGATCCATTTACATATATACTTTAAAGAATTTTAATAATAAAACTCATTTAAAAATCATGGCGTTTTTTGTTTAATTTTTCTTTAAACTTTCTAAATACTTTCAAAAAAATTTAAAAAATCTCTTAGGACACTTCATAGTTATAAAATGCCTTTCCACCTCCTCCCCCATCAAAAGTAATTTTCAAATTTAATTTTTATCATGACTCACAGGTTGGGGGTTTTTTTAATCTATTCAACTTAAAATAAATGATGATTATTTTTAAGATATTGCAAACTAAAGTTGTTGTGGTTAAATCAGCAAAATCCTTTGTGGCTTTTTAGACAACAAAATCATTTTAATTACCATCTTAGGCAATTTAAAGGCATAAAATAAGTAAAATGAACTTTCTAGAGGTCTTAGTAGAAATACTTAGGGAAAATATACTGTTTGCTTTGTAAAGAGAAGCATCTGTTTTCTAAACATTTTGTAGTAAAAATTTATTATTAAAATGGTTTCTTAGATTTTTCTTACGGGTGTTGGAAGACCTTTTTAAGTTAAGTTATGTTGTAATAATGTTTTAAATTTAAATTTATTGCCAAATAAATATTAAAAGCCATAAGCAGCCAAAGACATTTTAAAGACGAAGGGAAAAAGAGACACATTTATAGTAGGAGTCAGAAATGGGCTTAATTAAGACTTAAGAGATTGGGAATCATTGAAAATAAGGTATTGTTGGTATCATCGGACGACCAGACTCTTTCAATGTTTGTTTTTTTTTTTCGTAAATAAAATCTGTTTGTACAATTCTTTTTGAAGGTTGCAGATATCTTGGGGATTCAAACCTTATATAGTAAAGTAGAGGTAATTAGTTAGTTATTTAGTAAGTTAGTTAGTTAGTTAGTTAGTTAGTTAGTTAGTTAGTTAGTTAGTTAGTTAGTTAGTTAGTTAGTTAGTTAGTTAGTTAGTTAGTTAGTAGTTAGTTAGTTAGTTAGTTAGTTAGTTAGTTAGTTAGTTAGTTAGTTAGTTAGTTAGTTAGTTAGTTAGTTAGTTAGTTAGTTAGTTAGTTAGTTAGTTAGTTAGTTAGTTAGTTAGTTAGTTAGTTAGTTAGTTAGTTAGTTAGTTAGTTAGTTAGTTAGTTAGTTAGTTAGTTAGTAGTTAGTTAGTTAGTTAGTTAGTTAGTTAGTTAGTTAGTTAGTTAGTTAGTTAGTTAGTTAGTTAGTTAGTTAGTTAGTTAGTTAGTTAGTTAGTAGTTAGTTAGTTAGTTAGTTAGTTAGTTAGTTAGTTAGTTAGTTAGTTAGTTAGTTAGTTAGTTAGTTAGTTAGTAGTTAGTTAGTTAGTTAGTTAGTTAGTTAGTTAGTTAGTTAGTTAGTTAGTAGTTAGTTAGTTAGTTAGTTAGTTAGTTAGTTAGTTAGTTAGTTAGTTAGTTAGTTAGTTAGTTAGTTAGTTAGTTAGTTAGTTAGTTAGTTAGTTAGTTAGTTAGTTAGTTAGTAGTTAGTTAGTTAGTTAGTTAGTTAGTTAGTTAGTTAGTTAGTTAGTTAGTTAGTTAGTTAGTTAGTTAGTTAGTTAGTTAGTTAGTTAGTTAGTTAGTTAGTTAGTTAGTTAGTTAGTTAGTTAGTTAGTTAGTTAGTTAGTTAGTTAGTTAGTTAGTTAGTTAGTTAGTTAGTAGTTAGTTAGTTAGTTAGTTAGTTAGTTAGTTAGTTAGTAGTTAGTTAGTTAGTTAGTTAGTTAGTTAGTTAGTTAGTTAGTTAGTTAGTTAGTTAGTTAGTTAGTTAGTTAGTTAGTTAGTTAGTTAGTTAGTTAGTTAGTTAGTTAGTTAGTTAGTAGTTAGTTAGTTAGTTAGTTAGTTAGTTAGTTAGTTAGTTAGTTAGTTAGTTAGTTAGTTAGTAGTTAGTTAGTTAGTTAGTTAGTTAGTTAGTTAGTAGTTAGTTAGTTAGTTAGTTAGTTAGTTAGTTAGTTAGTTAGTTAGTTAGTTAGTAGTTAGTTAGTTAGTTAGTTAGTTAGTTAGTTAGTTAGTTAGTTAGTTAGTTAGTTAGTTAGTTAGTTAGTTAGTTAGTAGTTAGTTAGTTAGTTAGTTAGTTAGTTAGTTAGTTAGTTAGTTAGTTAGTTAGTTAGTTAGTTAGTTAGTTAGTTAGTTAGTTAGTTAGTTAGTTAGTTAGTTAGTTAGTTAGTTAGTTAGTTAGTTAGTTAGTTAGTTAGTTAGTTAGTTAGTTAGTTAGTTAGTTAGTTAGTTAGTAAGTAAGTTAGTTGTAACATCCGAAGAAATGAAACTACACAGAGGGAAAAAGAAATATACACGCTTGGTACCAAATCGACACCGAACTGTTTTTAGTTTTTCAATACCATCCGTTGTCAAAGTATATTCATACATACGTACGGCAACACTATGTAATGTTGATAACATTGCAGCAATTCGTTGTCGGAATCTAAATTTTATGCATGTCCGTTGTCTAAATGTTAACAAACGTAGTTAGCTGACTATTGACAAACAATCCGTTACCAATAGTGAGCTTACCACGTTTGTTAACATTTCGACAACGGATGTGCACAAAATTGCGACAAGATTTCGACAACGAATTGTTGCAATACATAGTGTTGTCGTACGTATGTATATACTTTGACAACGGATGTTATTGAAAATCTTTGGTGTCAATTTGGTACCTTTTCTTTTTCCCTCTGTGTAGGCCGCTATTAGGTCCGTTGAATGCTGTTTCACTAGAGTCGAACTCAAGACCCCCTTCTCAATAAATTTATTACCTAACAACTATTTTTATATAAATTCCGTATGATTATAAATTATTTATTTTTGAAAGTTTTCGTTTTATGACCAATTTTTAAATGTTAAAAGTTTTCCTTACAACTTTTTGTCAATATTTTATGAATTTTTTTTTCTTTTTGTTTCTTTCAAATATATAAATATTTTTATCTATAGTCTTTATAACTTTATTTATTCCTTCACTCTTTTCATATCTTTCTTTCAAATTATTGAAGTGTTTGTTTTTTCCAACATTTATATACTGATCTTTACTACCACTTTTTCTAAGGCATTGTGTTTTTCGTTTCGGTTTGGAAGTTGTTATCCACACGCAATAATTCATGTCGTACAACTTTGATTAATAAAGAAAAAATAAAATAACGTTCATTCATATTGTATTGTAAATAATTGTATCAAAATACTCGTAAAAGAAACAATTTTAAAGCAAATTGAAATGTCTATGGATTGAGGCAGCAATTGTATTAATCCTTTCAATAATTGTATCGGTTTTAAATATTTTTAATTTATTTTTAACTGGAGAAGAAAAAAAAACGATATGAGTCATGCTTTAAAACTTACTCATAATAAAGTTTTCAAAACATACGATGGTTCCTGTATATGTTTTAAGTTGAAGCAATAAATTAAGTTCTCTTGAAACAATTTGAATATTTAAGAAGCTACTATCATCATATATTTTAAATAAAAGTTGCAAACTAATTCTTATAAGTCACACATCTTCTTTTTATTAATTATCCTTTCAACAACTTCACTTTTCACTTTATTCATTTACTCATATTCTATCAAGTATAATGATAATTAAATCCACTTGAAATTGATATTTATACACATACCTACACATGAGCATAAATAATTAAGTAAGTTTTTCCCTGATAAACCAAACTCATATAAAATCATCGTTCATAAATGAATATATAATTAATAAATATTTGGGGCTGGAAAAAATTATACATTTTAACAAGAAAACTTGTTGACACTAAGAATGAAAACTAAAACTATTCCGACAAATAACATATTACATACTTACAAGTGAAATCATACATATTTTTCTCTAATTTAACATAACGAAAGCTTAATATTAAAATGATTTACTTTAACAATAAACTTGTATCTTAAAGTTTTCCTCTCGCCCCCAAAAACCTCAATTTTTTTATTATTATGAAATATTCAATATGGCCTCAACTACCCTCTGTGTTTATAAAGTTTATTATCCTCCCTCTTTTTTTGATGTATATATTTTTGGAAGGATGGATATATAAATGATGACTCCATTTACTTTGGTCTTTACAGACAAACGTTTAAATAATTATTATCATTATTGCGCAAACTCCTATTTTCTTTTTTGAGCTTTTTCCTGTTAAGTTGGAGGGTTTATTTAGTTTGCGGAATATATCCTCGTAGTTTTTGTTTTTAAGTACTTGGCTTGTATTTAAAATATTATAATTAACCTTAAATTATTTATGAGAACATTAAGGAAATAATATAGTCTGAGTGAAAAGTTGTTGTTTTTAAGCGTTTAGAGAGTTATAATAATACAATAATTATATCGTCTTAAAGGGAATTTAAATAAAGTTGATTTTTAGGCTTTAATTTTAAAGATCAGAAGGTAAAATTACTTTTTAGTTTAAAAAGCAAAAGTGACCTAATGTCATCACCAAGTAAACAATAAAGTGTCTATCTATCTATCTATCTATCTATCTATCTATCTATCTATCTATCTATCTATCTATCTATCTATCTATCTATCTATCTATCTATCTATCTATCTATCTATCTATCTATCTATCTATCTATCTATCTATCCTATCTATCTATCTATCTATCTATCTATCTATCTATCTATCTATCTATCTATCTATCTATCTATCTATCTATCTATCTATCTATCTATCTATCTATCTATCTATCTATCTATCTATCTATCTATCTATCTATCTATCTATCTATCTATCTATCTATCTATCTATCTATCTATCTATCTATCTATCTATCTATCTATCTATCTATCTATCTATCTATCTATCTATCTATCTATCTATCTATCTATCTATCTATCTATCTATCTATTATCTATCTATCTATCTATCTATCTATCTATCTATCTATCTATCTATCTATCTATCTATCTATCTATCTATCTATCTATCTATCTATCTATCTATCTATCTATCTATCTATCTATCTATCTATCTATCTATCTATCTATCTATCTTTCTTTCTATCTATCTATCTATCTATCTATCTATCTATCTATCTATCTATCTATCTATCTATCTATCTATCTATCTATCTATCTATCTATCTATCTATCTATCTATCTATACATCTATCGACATTCTCATTTAAAATCTCTTTAATAGTTCATGGTTAATAGATTTCTAGTTTATTTCACATAGAAATCCAAAACATTTTCCTTATTTTAATTTTGATTTATGGAAAAACTATTTGTGGTTTAAAGTTTTTCACATCTAACTTCCCAAAAGTAAAATAATAAAATCATTTTTCTCTGCTGCATAAACAAAACAAATTTTTCAAAAACTCATTTATAATGGTTGCCAAAAACTAAAAGAAAAACAACTACAACAATTGCAATAACGAAAACTTTACCAATTTAACCATAAACTTGTATAAATTTTTAATTAGAAATTTATTTCAAAAATTTCAACACTACACATCCTTGTACTCAAATACTACACACACACACGCATCTTCTTTCAAATGTTAGAGTTAAATTTACAATTAACTTTGCTCCTTTTTCTTACCAAGAAGATAAATTATAGTGGCAAGATTTTTTCAGGTGGTAAATTAATTTGTGTTTATTTATACATAAGTGTATGTAATATGTATGTATGTTGTTAGTTAATTCTTAGTAAAATATATGTTTTGACTAATTAAATTGTTTCCGTTTTTCCTTATTTTCTCCTTGTGGCTTTAGTCAAATTTAAGAAGATTTATTTTCTTTTAAGAGGAAGCTTAAGGCAAAGCAGTGAAAAAGCAATAACAATTATATTTAATTATATTAAATGTTGTTGTTACATTGAGGAAAGAAAAAACATTTTGATATACTTTCAAGTATAAACTTGACATATAACAGATCTAAAGCTGTCAAATTGTAAGACATTAACATTTGTAATCACAATAACGGAAAAAAGTTGCATACAAATGTTTTCTGTTTTTTTCCAAACTGATTTTAAGGGTAGTAAAATATAAACGTTAACTATGTTATGCTTGAAATCTTAACTTACTGTTACTTTAACAATGAAACATGTCATTAAATTATTGATTTAAATGTCTGTTATTTTGTGATATTTTTCCCGTTTACATTTCATTTAAATTAAATATGTATTGTATACAGTTTTAATCGCGTGTTAAATATAGCATTGTTTTAATTTACTTTTTTTACGGAGACATTGATTACAGGTCTATTATTATAATTAAATTATTTAAAAGAGTTTATTTATATAAAATCCTAACTTTTCTGAAGAGCTGATATAAATGTTTGACAAAATAAAGTAAAAAATCGGGGGATTTAGTGAAAAACTGGAAATTTGTGTTTTCTTAACGTTTTCTTTAATTTTTAATAAAGACTTTCTCCATTGAGTTACGCAAAAATTTATGAAACTTAAACATTAAAGGGAGGTTTAGTATCTGCATCTAAATAAGAATACATAGATAAGGGCCCCAATGGTACTTCACCAGGGAAAATGTGGCTTGACTTAATAGTACTTTTTTGTTCTGGTATTGTAGAAAGACTTATTTTGACAAAAATTATACTGAACTTTTTTAAGAATTAGGGAAAAGGGGTATTTTTTAAGCCCCCTTCACACGAGCACACAAGTAATATGATCTGTCAAAATTTTGTGTAGAAGAGAACGGATGGGATCGTCTAAACGCAATATGTAATGAAACCATCACACATTGAGAGAAAATACGGATGGAAAATTTGACAGTCGTATGGCTCTCTTCATTTTTTGAAATGATTCAAAAAACAAGCAAGTCGCATTAGATCAGGGATGTATTTTTATGTAAACACATAAAAAAAAAGTGAAACAGCTGTTCCATCTTACTTTGTTATTGTTTTATATCAATCGTGTAAACACAAAAAATATAAATCATGCGACTTTTATTCTCTTTTTTGTCATACGGATGGAATTTCATTTTACTTTTTCATTAGACTTGTCGTACGTAAAGTGTGACCGTGTGAAGGGTCCTTTAGTACCTTTTCGATTTGATGCTTATAAAACCTTTAGACCTCCTCTAAGTTATCAAATAGCATTATATAGCTGTAGGTGAGAGATACGTTTTTGTACATTTTATAATACATTTTACGTTTTTCTAGTTAATTTGCTTAGAATCATAAATGAGAGCAAATGACGCCATTTTACTACATTCGAACATTTTTCAAAGTGTCGTAAAAACAATGTCAACAAAAAACACATGGTTTTTTATATTCCATCAAAAAACTGAAATAAAATTAATAAAACAACCCTCATTAGTGCTAATGAAACATAATAAACATAATGGGGGGTGGACGGATATAAACAATTTACAAACAAAAGGTTTCCATTTTATTTCTTTTCATATTTAACAACTTTTTTCCAATGAATTTAAATAAATAACAAAGTATATAACAAAAAATAAAAACAAAATGGCAGCGGATTAACTTAGACCTCCAACTCATAAAAATATATTAGAAAACTAAGCGATATAAATCTAAATAATAATCGTTTTAATACTTTGGGCTTAATTGAGTTGTTGCTTATCGAAATAGATTCTAATGACAAATGGTCATTCCATTTGCTCGTTTACAAGGGAAATTTATACAGAAAAAGTTAAATGATTTAATACATGCATTTTAGACATTTAGAAAGAGAAATAGATATATAAATAAATTTAGTTTTTTTCTATTTATAAGCATTGTTAAATTAATGAAAGATCATTAACTAACTAACTAAATACTTATGTATGTATGTATGTATGTATGTATGTATGTAACTATATATGAATATTTGTTTTGTAATTAAACATTTCAAATATTTTAACTGATATTGTCAACATGATAGAGGAATTTATTACTAGTCAACAGCAATTGAATTATTATTTAAACGTTTTTTATTTCGTAATATGTGTTCATTCATTTATTTATAAACAAATGTTATAAAAAAAGAATAACAATTTATGGTTTAATGATAATTATAGTTGATTTTTCCATTGAATATTTATTTTTCTGTTGCTAAATCTAAAACTATTGAAATTATATTTAATTTATTAAATATGTTTAATGAAAGTAAAATACTATTTAATTGCTAAATAATATCAGAAATCTATGTAATCATGTCTTCTTCCCCCTCATATTCAAATGTTATTATACATATGTAAATGAAATTATGGCATTTCGTGCAGTTCACAAATTATTTTCAATAAAAATTTTTCCTCCAACTTCAAATTAAATTCTTGTTTTCTATAGCTATAGGTATTTTGCTTAATTTATTTATTTAGTTATTTATATGTTTATTTAATCAGTTGTATAATTTTTGCTATTTAAGCGTGTAAATTTCAAATTCAAATTTTCAATTTGTTTATGAACGTTAGTTGTTGACTGTATTTAAATGAGTTTTGATATGTTTTTAATTATTATTATTGTTGTTAACAAATCAAATGTTTTTGATTAATTTTCGAAAGTGCTTAATAAAAATTAATGAGCCATATTAAGTTTTAGAGGTGCTTAATATCATCTCTATAATTTAGGAAAAACTGTACTAATTTTGGAACTTATTGTTCCAGAAAGTATACTGACCAGACATATTTTTTTTATGCTTAATTGAGACTTCTTTAAGGAATAATCTTTATTGCCTTTTATGGTACTTTTGAATACTTTTATGGTACGTACTTTGGTTCTAGTTCAGTTCTAGTTCAGTTCTATTTCAGTTCTATTTCAGTTCTAGTTCAGTTCTAGTTCAGTTCTAGTTCAGTTCTAGTTCAGTTCTAGTTCAGTTCTAGTTCAGTTCTAGTTCAGTTCTAGTTCAGTTCTAGTTCAGTTCTAGTTCAGTTCTAGTTCAGTTCTAGTTCAGTTCTAGTTCAGTTCTAGTTCAGTTCTAGTTCAGTTCTAGTTCAGTTCTAGTTCAGTTCTAGTTCAGTTCTAGTTCAGTTCTAGTTCAGTTCTAGTTCAGTTCTAGTTCAGTTCTAGTTCAGTTCTAGTTCAGTTCTAGTTCAGTTCTAGTTCAGTTCTAGTTCAGTTCTAGTTCAGTTCTAGTTCAGTTCTAGTTCAGTTCTAGTTCAGTTCTAGTTCAGTTCTAGTTCAGTTCTAGTTCAGTTCTAGTTCAGTTCTAGTTCAGTTCTAGTTCAGTTCTAGTTCAGTTCTAGTTCAGTTCTAGTAATTCATTCTAGTTCAGTTCTAATTTAATTTTATTTCGGTTCTAGTTGAGTTCAAGTTTAGATCTCGTTTCTGTTGCTTCTAAATTCTTAAATTTTTAGTGTAAAATGCTTAATTTTCTAAAACTCACCTCCATTTCGTTCTTCTATTCTGGAACCACGTTTTCACCTGAGCATCAGTCATTTTTAAACCTCTCGCCAAAGCAGCTCTCTCCGCAGATGCTAAATATTTTTGCTTGTGAAATCTTTTCTCCAATTCGGCCACCTGTATGCGTGTGAATGAAGTCCTGGGCTTTTTCCTCTTTGGTGGTGTACGATTCTGGTAGGGATGACCTATGCGACGGGCAATGGGAAAGGCAGCTGTAAAGAAACAAATAAAAACCACACATAAGACAAATTATTTTATAAATTATTAGATATAAAACAACTTAATAAATAAACGTCCCTCCAAATAAAAAAAAACTGATCCTTTAATTGATTTCTAAAAAAGGTAAAAACAATTAACGCAACTATAAATTTTCCCAGATAACAAGCAATTTCCGATATTTACTTCCGCACAACAAACAGCCAGAGTCCCGCCGCTACCTGGCGAGCGTGAACAAGTGTTTGTATAAGGGACATTAAGGAGTTTTTGTTTCCAATAGAAAACGAAACTATTTAAGTGGTTACTCTAACAAACATTGATATGGATAAACACATATTGACTTAATTACTACTTTACTTACTGTGTATAACGTAGCGTTTTTAGGCCATTAGCTGCTGAGAAGGAAGGAGTGAATGAATGACTCTTACCTGCTGTGAAATCAATTAGACGTTTAACTAACCTACAAAAGTTAGGGCGCGAGTTCTAGTAAATATTATTTAACCATTTGAAATGGTCTACTATTTCCTAATTGTTAATGTTTGTTTTGTGTGTAGGCTGACATAGGGAAGAAGTAGAAAAATGTCCTGCTTAAAACGCCACTTTCAAAGTGTTTAATTTATGTTGTTGTTGTTGCTATTACTGTTCTTGGGCATTAACGCACGCGACAATTTTTGTTGTCGCGTAATTTTTTTTGAAACCTTAAGTTGAGTCATTTGTTGGTGACATAAAATATACTACAACAACATTTAAGAAAGAAACAAATGAATGAATGGAATGAGTGAGTGACTAGTCGGTCGGTTGTCTGACTGACCCAGACTTTTGTTGTCGCAGAACATGCTAATGCACCGAACAGTTGAAAGAACAGGCGTGCAACCATTGATGGCTGGCTGGCTTGTTGGTCAGATGAACGGACTGAATGGCAGACAGACAGGCCAACCTTTTAAAATTCTTTAAGATCGTAGAGTTTTTGTTATGTTTCATGACGTCGTCGTCATCATCATTATTGTCGTTGTTTTATACGTTTGGCTTTTATTAGGTGCGATAAGAAACGCGTAGAGACATTTTTTGTTAAATAAGAATATTCAGCTAGAGTTGCCAGCATTAAATCATTTCAAAATTTTTAATAAACAGTAATCAAGTTGTAACGAAGCTAGCAATTTACATTTGTCAATTTTCTCACCGCTTGATTCAACAGACAAATAAAACCCAAACTTCATAAATCAGTTGTGTATTTGAAAATTATCAATGGACAATTTTAAAAATTTTACTTTGGCAACCCTTCTTCTTATAACCTCCTTTCATGCGTTTAAATTTTTTATATTTGTTTTCACAAATTAGCCATTTTTATTAAAGAGTTTTCAAAAACGACATTTACAAAATGTTTTACAATTAATAAAATATTAAATTCTTTATTATAACGCTAAGGCCGAACAAAAAAACGCTTTAACTTCTACCACAACATCTCCAACATATCTCATTCTTATTCATATTGTTTGTTGCATTATCTTCCGTGGGTTTTTTTTTTGGTTTTTTGTTCCAAAACTGTATTTGCGTCCTCTTGTAGTGTTTTGTCGCCAGCTTATCTTAATAGCTCCGTCGAAGTACAATAATTGGCGCCTCCGCGGAAATTGTATGGATTGGTTGTATATGTTAACCAATTTTTCTTTATGAACGAATACTTTACGTAGCTGTTGGTGTTTGGTTTTTTGGTCAAAATTATTTTTTTTTTTTGTTTTTCGAAGTAATTTTGTTGTTGGTATTTTGTTTTATAGCAACAGTCTGAAAGTGGTTGCTTAAACGATACATTGACATCGAACAATTAATTATGAAAGCGTTGTAAATATAAAAAGGTGAATGGAGGTTTTGATAGTGTTAATGAACATTTGTTTAATTTTATTAAATAAAAAACTCTTTTGTTTTAAAACAAAACTTCTTAAACTAAAGTTAACATAAAATATATTATTACTACTTTCTTAAGGCATAATCATATTGTACAAATATTTGACCCAAAAGTTCGAGTTCAGTTCTAGTCGGGATCTACTTCAGTTCTAGTTCAGTTTTAGTTCAGTTCTAGTTTAGTTCTAGTTCAGTTCTAGTTCAGTTCTAGTTCAGTTCTAGTTCAGTTCTAGTTCGGTTCTAGTTCAGTTCTAGTTCAGTTCTAGTTCAGTTCTAGTTCAGTTCTAGTTCAGTTCTAGTTCAGTTCTAGTTCAGTTCTAGTTCAGTTCTAGTTCAGTTCTAGTTCAGTTCTAGTTCAGTTCTAGTTCAGTTCTAGTTCGGTTCTAGTTCAGTTCTAGTTCAGTTCTAGTTCAGTTCTAGTTCAGTTCTAGTTCAGTTCTAGTTCAGTTCTAGTTCAGTTCTAGTTCAGTTCTAGTTCAGTTCTGGTTCAGTTCTAGTTCAGTTCTAGTTCAGTTCTAGTTCAGTTCTAGTTCAGTTCTAGTTCAGTTCTAGTTCAGTTCTAGTTCAGTTCTAGTTCAGTTCTAGTTCAGTTCTAGTTCAGTTCTAGTTCAGTTCTAGTTCAGTTCTAGTTCAGTTCTAGTTCAGTTCTAGTTCAGTTCTAGTTCAGTTCTAGTTCAGTTCTAGTTCAGTTCAAGTTCAGTTCTAGTTCAGTTCTAGTTCAGTTCTAGTTCAGTTCTAGTTCAGTTCTAGTTCAGTTCTAGTTCAGTTCTAGTTCAGTTCTTGTTCAGTTCTAGTTCAGTTCTAGTTCAGTTCTAGTTCAGTTCTAGTTCAGTTCTAGTTCAGTTCTAGTTCAGTTCTAGTTCAGTTCTAGTTCAGTTCTAGTTCAGTTCTAGTTCAGTTCTAGTTCAGTTCTAGTTCAGTTCTAGTTCAGTTCTAGTTCAGTTCTAGTTCAGTTCTAGTTCAGTTCTAGTTCAGTTCTAGTTCAGTTCTAGTTCAGTTCTAGTTCAGTTCTAGTTCAGTTCTAGTTCAGTTCTAGTTCAGTTCTAGTTCAGTTCTAGTTCAGTTCTAGTTCAGTTCTAGTTCAGTTCTAGTTCAGTCTAGTTCAGTTCTAGTTCAGTTCTAGTTCAGTTCTAGTTCAGTTCTAGTTCAGTTCTAGTTCAGTTCTAGTTCAGTTCTAGTTCAGTTCAGTTCTAGTTCAGTTCTAGTTCAGTTCTAGTTCAGTTCTAGTTCAGTTCTAGTTCAGTTCTAGTTCAGTTCTAGTTCAGTTCTAGTTCAGTTCTAGTTCAGTTCTAGTTCAGTTCTAGTTCAGTTCTAGTTCAGTTCTAGTTCAGTTCTAGTTCAGTTCTAGTTCAGTTCTAGTTCAGTTCTAGTTCAGTTCTAGTTCAGTTCTAGTTCAGTTCTAGTTCAGTTCTAGTTCAGTTCTAGTTCAGTACTAGTTCAGTTCTAGTTCAGTTCTAGTTCAGTCTAGTTCAGTTCTAGTTCTAGTTCAGTTTCTAGTTCAGTTCTAGTTCAGTTCTAGTTCAGTTCTAGTTCAGTTCTAGTTCAGTTCTAGTTCAGTTCTAGTTCAGTTCTAGTTCAGTTAGTTTAGTTCTAGTTTAGTTCAAGTTAAGTTCTAGTTCAGTTTTTTAATTTTCTATTTATTTAATTTTTTCCAGTGTATTCAAATTGAACATAAATATTTATATCTATTGCGTGCAGTTCTTGTAAATTCTAACCCCTTCAAAAGTGTTAAACTGACAAATCATGTTGTTTATTAAGGTTTTCTTCGTATTTTTGCGAAAATGTTTATTAAAAATTTAACAACATAAAGACATAAAAATCAATATTGATGTTATTTACAAAACGTTTTTTATTTCAAAGCCATTTTTTCTCATCTTGGATGTAATATCAATTTCAATAAAAAGCCATTTTAAGCCATAAATATAAACAACAAACCCATCAAATCATGGCAACATGATGCTCCAATTGTAACTGTTACTCAAAAAAGGGTTTATATATGTATAACAATTTAAGTAGGTATATCATATCTAAACATATAACAACCACATATGATTTTTTATAGGGACTTTTAAGGGGGGATTTAAAAAAATTTAAATTTGAGGAAAAATGTATAGCATGTATGTATGCAAAAATACATTTTCCTGTTTCTGGTTTTATTTATTTTTAAAACAAAAATATGGAGGGTTGGTTTTACTTATGACTTTGTGTTTCCTGTTAAACAGAAAGTTTTTCCTTTTTCTTTAAATTTTTTCTTTCTCTAAAATATTCCAAAGGGATGTTTTACGACTGTTTTAAGAAAAGTTGAATGTTTTAAAACAAAAATAAACGTTTCATTCGTGTTAGAAATGAACGAGTGTTTGTGTGTGTGGCTATAAACCATAAGCCAAGTTAGTAACTGTAATGGAAAAAGCTTTTAACATGAATTATAAATATGCATGTTTATGCCAAGAAATATTGTTTTTTTTTTTCAGCTAGCTACAAATATAAATACATTTACAAAAAGGAACATGGTATAGGTTTTTTATAGATGATGTATTTAAGGTTAAGAAATTCATATTTATATGTACATATACAGACATAAAGTTGTAAATTTGCCGGAAATATGTATCAAGATTTTGTAGGAAATATTTAAAATCAAAAATATATATTTGATTGAAAAATTAAGAATTTTGTTTATTGTTTTTTCGTTATTTGCTTAATTTATTAGTTAAATTTGATAAATAAAATAAACATATTTTAAATACACTAGTTTAGTTCTAGTTCAGCTATTAAGTTCTAGTTCAGTTATAGTTCAGTTCTAATTTGAAATTTATTCGTTTTTTCCTCTGTTTCTACAGCCATTGTAAACTTACTACATTTTCTTTATTTGAAAGATCACTTTGCTAGAGTAGTTTAAAAATTTACATTTAATTATATTAATGTGACAGAGACGTTAAAATGTCGACGTAGTGCAACGCATCTGTAGCAAAAATGAAAGAAAGATAAATTAGATAGATGATGATGGCATTCTTTAACGTTTCATTTCATATAACATCTCCAGTATTTTCCTTTCATTATTTTTTGTTTCCACCAAACAGCATCTGTACATGGAAAATCACGTGCAACGTGTGCCACAAACATTAACAGCACCAGCACTCAGCCAATATGTATGGAAAAAGTCGTATAAAATAAAGTACAAAAAATGCCAAAGAATATAAATGAACGTTGTTGTTCTTTTAAATGCGTATGTTGCTACTGTATTTCTGCAGCAGAAGCGCAAGTACTTGAAGAAGGCAGACTAAGGCAGTAAATTCCAAACTAACACCACATACATCAATGCGAAAGAAAGTCAGACCAGGCACAATGCGTTTTATAGGCCAAAACCATCAAAAAAAAAGAGGCATAAAAAAGCGTATAACGAAAACATTAAAGACAAGCCACAATGATTGCCACATAGCACGCACTCAATAAAATTGAAAAAAATAAATAAAACAACAATTACCTCACAAACAAACCCTTGATATGGAATTGCAGCAGCTACAAGAAACAAGCAAAGCATACGACCAATTTCATCTCGTCTTTTATAGAAAATGTTAAACTTATTAAAATTTTTGCAGTAACCAAACCTGCCTCCTCAGCCACACTTGCTCCTTCACAATTTACTGCTTTAGTTGTTGGCTAATAAGTATGATCAGAGAAGTCTTTTAAGGTAACAAGCATATCGGCATGTCATACGCTTGCTTAAAGCAAAAAAGAAAAAAAACTAATACCCAACTGATTGCCTGGTTGCTTTGGTTACAAGCACCTACAGGGAAGCTGTGATGATGATACACTTTTGTGGAGTACTTTTACTAAAGTATCCTTTTTAATGTTTATGTATTGTGTGTTCTACTTGTATTTGTATTTTTATAAATCCTTTGGCTCATTGAGTAAAGTAGGAAAACATGTTTGCTTTCAGTGTACAATCTCACCTTTATTTAAGCCTGATACTTTAAACCGCCCAGAAGTTTTACATGTTTTTGTGTGGTTGTTTGTGTTTTGATTTTGCTTCGTTTTAAGAGTTTTTATATAAACAAAATTTGCATAATGTTGCTGATCGTTTAAAAGTGCACTTGTTCAAAAATCATGAGCCTAAGACAGTGGTGTGTTAAGGATGAAATATGAAGACTCACATTTTAACAATTGCACACGTATCATCCACATCTCCTTGTAATGTCTGAGGAGTCATGAATATAGTTCAGTACTAGTTCAGTTCTAGTTCAGTTCTAGTTCAGTTCTAGTTCAGTTCTAGTTCAGTTCTAGTTCAGTTCTAGTTCAGTTCTAGTTCAGTTCTAGTTCAGTTCTAGTTCAGTTCTAGTTCAGTTCTAGTTCAGTTCTAGTTCAGTTCTAGTTCAGTTCTAGTTCAGTTCTAGTTCAGTTCTAGTTCAGTTCTAGTTCAGTTCTAGTTCAGTTCTAGTTCAGTTCTAGTTCAGTTCTAGTTCAGTTCTAGTTCAGTTCAGTTCTGTTCTAGTTCAGTTCTAGTTCAGTTCTAGTTCAGTTCTAGTTCAGTTCTAGTTCAGTTCTAGTTCAGTTCTAGTTCAGTTCTAGTTCAGTTTTATTTCGATTCCAGTTCACTTCTATTTTGGTTCCAGTTCAGTTCAAGTTTAGTTTCAGTTACCCAAAACAAGTGACGTTTTTCTTCCCTATAAATGTATTCTAAACCACTGTACATTATCAAAATATGTTACAATAACAACAATCACCAAACTGTTTTTCAATTTCCAGCCACATTATTCGTTCATTCATTAGTTAAATGATAATTTGTTGTAGTATAAACTTCAATTGTATCAATATTAAAATGACAATGTTCGGTATAAATCCTCAAAGTGACCTCCATGATGCTAAAGATAAAACAACGTTTTTGAATTTAATCACAAACACACACACACAGAGAGAGCGCACATTTTAAGCTCTACTTTAATGCTTCAATAAACATTTGTATTGATTTGAATAAAAAGAACAAAAACAAATAAAGCTTCCTTTCAAAACTGAGCACAAAAACTTAAAGTATCAAACATTTGCCGCTTTAACCGATTTGACATAAAGTGTCGGCTTGATGATCACGCACACACACAGTCAGTCCTCGTTTGTGGCATCCTTAAGATAGACTTGATTTTTGTGTATTTTTATTAATTTGCATACAACAGCCTTTAAATCAAGCTTAATTTCGATATAGTGTTGTGTTTTTGTTTGTTTTGTTTTTGCAACTATTTTAATGATGTGATTAACATGACTTTTTAATTTCAACCTGTATACCGAATTAATTACCATTTGGGAGGTCGGTTTTTTTATAACAATTCTAATACAAATTTCGAAATCGAAATGACGTTAGAGTTTTACTGCCGTGACTGTGCAAAAGATTTATCTTGCTCATCAGCAGCAACATCAAAGTCATTTCAAATACAAATTAAATTCTTAAAAATACAAAAGGAGTCAATTTCACCACATTTGAATATATTGAGCTTTTATTGGCGTCACACAAAATAAATGTCAAATGTATTAATGCTTTTTATTAAATGAATTTCCTTTCCAATGTTTTGCTTTGATTGCTGGTCGTTAAAGGGTTAAGGCATTATCACTTTAATGTTGATTTTTTTCTCATTCTCATGTGTGAGTGTATTCCTTGACTGGAGTTTGTACCTTTATTAAGGTTGTATTTGAGTTTTTTTTTTTATGGTGCGTGTTGATAAGCTGGCGCCTTTGGCTTTTTTTCTACGTTACCTTTTCAGCTTCCATAAACTATATTGACTCTTTGTCGAAAATGATTTATGAACATTTTTTCTTATGGTTTCAATAATAAACTTATGTAGGTGGTCATGTTGGAGTTACTGATTGTTGAAGTGGTAGCTTTTAAAAGACAATTATAATATTATTTTTGTTTTCTTCTCCTATATGATAAACGGAAGTTGTTCGAGATTGTTTGGAGTTTTATTGGTGACGAGATTGAAAGTATTAAGAGCAACTAATTATCATTCTTAATGAGGTTTTTAATATGAAAAATAACAGTTAAAGTTTAACACTTAATTTTAAAGCTCTTTTGTTAAGTTTCAGTTTTCTTTGGCAATAAAACGCTTTTAGAAAACTTTTACGGAATTGTGATTAAGCTTTCTGTCTACTGAAGACAAACACTTAGTTTTAGGGATATTTTTGAACAAAAGTTTTCTTAAAAGCTTTTATAAGTCTTAAGTTTAACACTGAATTTTGAGGTTACATTTTTAAGTTCCATTTTAGTTAGCTAAGTTACAAATTTCTATAGAAATTAAAAGCTTTTATATAGTTTTTATAAAATTTTGATCTAATATAGTTAAAGCTTTCTTGGTAACAAAGTTTAGCATGTTTGATTAAAGCTATTTATAAACTAAAGTGTTTCTAAACAGTTTTAAACTTTCATGGTATCAATTGGAAATTTGTTTATAAAAAAAAGCTTTTAAATATTGAAAATTCCAATAATTAAACTTTAATTAAGCTTGAATATTGATTATATGCCAATGTTGAGAAATGTAGAAAGAATTGCATCTAACTATGGATCAAGAAATTTTTACGTTGGTGGAGCTATAGGAGCTTTTTTTATGTAGAGCTTTTACTTAACTTTTTAGTATAAAATATACCATTCAATTAAATTTCAGAATGATATTTGATTTTTCTAAAATACAATGCAATAGGAAATATTTCAGAAAAATGCTGTTGAACTTGTTGTTGTTTCTGACTATATCACTTAATTTAGGAAATTACAAAGTAGATTATCTGTTAACAAAATTTTGCCCTTTTTTCAATTTAACTTTCAATAAACTTCATGTTTTTTAATCAACTTGAAAAGCAAGTTGCTACTTCCGTTGCAGCAAAACACATCAACGAAAAAGTTTACAATTTTATGATTTTCTGCTCAAATAAAAACAGAATATTCTTCCAATAAACTCTGCTATTTTAAGACAGAAAAAAGCTCAAACAAATTTTATGGGTATTTAAAAAATTTACTTTGAAACTTGTTAAAAAATCCTTATATAACTTTGATATAATTAAAACAAAAAATATGCAAATAACCTGAGGCTAGCGTGGCACCCCACTGTGCGAATAAGTGCTGTTTGTCCAAAAACATTAACACACATTAGTAGCTCATTAACCATATTTATGTTAATGTCTTATTCATTTAATTTAATAACGAAGAAGCTCATGCTTAACTCACCTGCCAGTCTGTCTTTAACGGCTTGATGCGCCAGCGCAGCATGATGTAAAGGCGGTAAGGCCCATGTTAATGGTGTCCGTTGTGGTGGTACTCTTAAAACATGACCCGCTGCAGCAGCTGCCGCTGAGGGATATAGATGTGGATATGTGTAAAGTGCAGTAGCACCGCCATATGTTGATGAGGCTAAACTTGTGGCCAATTTATAGGCGGCCAAATCTTGTTCATTTTGTAAATCCTGTTCACTCAATTTATTACTATTGCTATTGTTGTTGTTGTTATTATTATTGTTGTTGTTATGCTCGAAGGGTTTTGAAAGCAGGCGCGATATACTAAAAGGCAGATTTTCACTAGACGAGGAACGGGTTTGTTCTGACTGTGTTTCACTGGAAATGGGAGAAGAGATAAAGATAATTAGAAAAAAGTAATATAACATGCTTTATGTTAACACTTTCAATTCTTAGTAAACTTAGGATATAAGCACATTTTGCAAATATTTCACTAAATAACGAAAATGAAAATGTTACAAATGTACTTGTATTTGTCAGATATTTGAAAAACTTATTAAAATTATTTACTGAAAGTTTTAATTAAGCTTTTTTCCTCAAATATTTGTTTAATATGATGTGACTTGTTTATTAATTTTTTGCTGGGTTGTTGTTATCATTGACGCAATAGCTCTTCAATTGTAAACAACGAAAATAAAAATCGTGTTATTTTTTACATTTATAACGAATATGATTCAGTCTAGAGCTGGTATTAAAAGTAGTTTTATTTAATAAAACTATAAATCAAAAAAAGCTTTTAAAAATTTAGTTTCAAAGTAAAAACGTGACCAAAAAAAAAGAAACTTAAATCAATACTTGTTTTATATTATTCTTCACAAATATTGCGTGTTCTTTTCCCTTGAATCTCATGAAAAACAAAAAAAAAAAAAAAATTCATTTATTAGCATTTTTTCAACATACATTTACAAAAACAAACAAAAATTAATGAGTTTTACAAGAACTGTCACAGATAAAAAATAAATTCATATAAAAATTTGTTTTCATTTTGTATTGATCATGAATGCATGTGTTTAAATGTGTGTTTGACACACAAAAAAACATGTTAAAAGAAATAACAACAAAAAGTTATTAATTAAGTTTGTTTTTAAATCAAGAAAAAAATTGTAAACAAATGACAGTAAAATTGCAATGTTGATGCTAAAATATACTTACATACATACATGTTTGTTCAAATGTGTGTTGAATTGTTTACAAACAAACAAATTTATTTTTTTGCTCAGAGAGAATTAGATTTGCTGCAGTAAGCATATCAGCCATGTAAACCCACGCAACTCTTGTATACAAAAGATAATGGTGTATAATTGTATGTTTGTTTGCATGAATGTTTACATAATAATGGCAGCTCTAAGTTCTTGAGTAGTAAATGCAAAAAAGGAACAACAAAAACCGTATACAGTTGATCATGATTACTTAATACAGTAGCCAAACAAACAGCAACAATTTATAAAGATTTATGTTTGATATGAAATTGAGACATTTGCGTGACCATTGATGGATTAAATCTGTTTTATTTTTTTTTTTATTTTCGTTAGTGTTTTTATTTATTTATGAATTAAATGCTTTTTGCTTATTGCTGAAGGTTATAATGAATGAATAATACTATTAACTAGGTTTACTTGTACGTTGTGTTGTACTACATACTATTCAATTAGCTGATGGAGTAAGATTATTAAAAATAAAGTAAATAATGAATATCGGGGAAAACAAATATTGAAATGAGAACTCGATTAAAAGCTATAAAAATAATTTATTACCTTCTTCCTTAGTAAAATCAACCAACAAATAAACTCTCTAATAAGTATGTACAAAAAACACAAAAAAACGTAACATTGTTAATAGTTTTAACAAGTCATAAAATTAGCTTTAGGTGGGTAATAAAATTTGAAAGTTTATCTCGTATAATATTTAACAGGGATGGAAAACACAGTAGTATTGTAGTTCTTCGGAATTTAATAAAATATCACATGCTTAGAAAGGAACCTTTATAAAAAAATAGTACTTATTTAGGTTTTAAAGGACTAAACTAATTTAGACTAGAATATATATTATAGATTAGACTAGACTGTAGAGTAGACTATAGACTAGACTATAGACTAGATTATAGACTAGACAATAGAATAGACTAGACTAGACTAGACTATAGATTAGACTACAGATTAGACTACAGACTAGACTACTGACTAACTATAGACAAGACTATAGACTAGACTATAGATTAGACTATAGATTAGACTATAGATTAGACTATAGACTAGACTATAGACTAGACTATAGACTAGACTATAGACTATAGACTAGACTATAGTCTAGACTATAGACTAGACTAGACTATAGACTAGACTATAAACTAGACTATAGACTAGACTATAGACTAGACTATAGACTAGACTATAGACTAGACTATAGACTAGACTATAGACTAGACTATAGACTAGACTATAGACTAGACTATAGACTAGACTATAGACTAGACTATAGACTAGACTATAAAATTAGCTTTAGGTGGGTAATAAAATTTGAAAGTTTATCTCGTATAATATTTAACAGGGATGGAAAACACAGTAGTATTGTAGTTCTTCGGAATTTAATAAAATATCACATGCTTAGAAAGGAACCTTTATAAAAAAAATAGTACTTATTTAGGTTTTAAAGGACTAAACTAATTTAGACTAGAATATATATTATAGATTAGACTAGACTGTAGAGTAGACTATAGACTAGACTATAGACTAGATTATAGACTAGACAATAGAATAGACTAGACTAGACTATAGATTAGACTATAGATTAGACTACAGACTAGACTACTGACTAACTATAGACAAGACTATAGACTAGACTATAGATTAGACTATAGATTAGACTATAGATTAGACTATAGATTAGACTATAGATTAGACTATAGACTAGACTATAGACTAGACTATAGACTAGACTATAGACTAGACTATAGTCTAGACTATAGACTAGACTAGACTAGACTAACTAGACTAGACTAGACTATAGACTAGACTATAGACTTAGACTAGACTATAGACTAGACTATAGACTAGACTATAGACTAGACTATAGACTAGACTATAGACTAGACTATAGACTAGACTATAGACTAGACTATAGACTAGACTATAGACTAGACTATAGACTAGACTATAGACTAGACTATAGACTAGACTATAGACTAGACTATAGACTAGACTATAGACTAGACTATAGACTAGACTATAGACTAGACTATAGACTAGACTATAGACTAGACTATAGACTAGACTATAGACTAGACTAGATAGACTATAGACAAGACTATAGACTAGACTATAGACTAGACTATAGACTACACTATAGACTAGACTATAGACTAGACTATAGACTCGACTATAGACTAGACTATAGACCAGACCATAGACTAAACTATAGACTAGACTATAGACCAGACTATAGACTAGACTATAGACTAGACTATAGACTAGACTATAGACTAGACTATAGACTAGACTATAGACTAGACTATAGACTAGACTATAGACTAGACTATAGACTAGACTATAGACTAGACTATAGACTAGACTATAGACTAGACTATAGACTAGACTATAGACTAGACTATAGACTAGACTATAGACTAGACTAGATAGACTATAGACTAGACTATAGACTAGACTATAGACTAGACTAGATAGACTATAGACTAGACTATAGACTAGACTATAGACTAGACTATAGACTAGACTATAGACTAGACTATAGACTAGACTATAGACTAGACTATAGACTAGACTATAGACTAGACTATAGACTAGACTATAGACTAGACTATAGACTAGACTATAGACTAGACTGTAAACTAGACTATAGACTAGACTATAGACTAGACTATAGACTAGACTATAAACTAGACTATAGACTAGACTAGACTATAGACTGGACTATAGACTTGGCTATAGACTTGACTATAGACTAGACTATAAACTAGACTAGACTATAGACTAGACTGTAGACTACACTATAGACTAGACTATAGACTAGACTCTATAGACTAGATTGTGGGTAATAAAATTTGAAAGTTTATCTCGTATAATATTTAACAGGGATGGAAAACACAGTAGTATTGTAGTTCTTCGGAATTTAATAAAATATCACATGCTTAGAAAAGAACCTTTATAAAAAAATAGTACTTATTTAGGTTTTAAAGGACTATACTAATTTAGACTAGAATATATATTATAGATTAGACTAGACTGTAGAGTAGACTATAGACTAGACTATAGACTAGATTATAGACTAGACAATAGAATAGACTAGACTATAGACTAGACTATAGACTAGACTATAGACTAGACTACAGACTAGACTATAGACTAGACTATAGACTAGACTATAGACTAGACTATAGACTAGACTATAGACTAGACTATAGACTAGACTATAGACTAGACTATAGACTAGACTATAGACTACACTATAGACTAGACTATAGACTAGACTATAGACTCGACTATAGACTAGACTATAGACCAGACCATAGACTAGACTATAGACTAGACTATAGACCAGACTATAGACTAGACTATAGACTAGACTATAGACTAGACTATAGACTAGACTATAGACTAGACTATAGACTAGACTACAGACTAGACTATAGACTAGACTATAGACTAGACTATAGACTAGACTATAGACTAGACTATAGACTAGACTATAGACTAGACTATAGACTAGATAGACTATAGACTAGACTATAGACTAGACTATAGACTAGACTATAGACTAGACTATAGACTAGACTATAGACTAGACTATAGACTAGACTATAGACTAGACTATAGACTAGACTATAGACTAGACTATAGACTAGACTATAGACTAGACTATAGACTAGACTGTAAACTAGACTATAGACTAGACTATAGACTAGACTATAGACTAGACTATAAACTAGACTACAGACTAGACTAGACTATAGACTGGACTATAGACTTGGCTATAGACTTGACTATAGACTAGACTATAAACTAGACTAGACTATAGACTAGACTGTAGACTACACTATAGACTAGACTGTAGACTACACTATAGACTAGACTATAGACTAGACTCTATAGACTAGATTGTAGACTTGACTATAGAATATGTTAATTTTTTTAATTAGTTTTCAATTTAAAAAATATCCTAAAGCTGAAAAACAAGATATTTAGAAATCTCCAATGCTACTCTATTTTCCAACCCTGTTTACAACTCACTCTAATAAATTAAACATTATACTGCAATTTCATTCAATCTTGAACACAGCTACACAAACACAGCAATTAAAATGTTAATTTAACAATGATTTTAACAGTTTTTCTAAGATAAAAACACACAAACAAAAACATGCACACATTAACATACACACACACTCATACTAACTGATACCTTTCAGTCAATCTGATTTTTTACGAGATCACCACAATCAATTAACTAGATCTTTTTTTGAACATCTTTAATAGTTTTCTCTATTCATTCATAGTTTTTTCTTTCCAAAAATATATCTAATCTTATGTTTGGGATTTTCAATAAAAACTAATAATTTTATAAATTTTATTGATCGTTAGTAAAAACGTTTGATTTTATTTTAATTTATTTTTAAGTTGTAGGTTTTTTTTTAAATTTTGAAACCATCAAAAACATCAATTTGCCATTAGAAAACATTTGATTTTGACATATTCAGTACATCGACATTTGTTTAAGATTTTATTGTTTTATTTTTCCATACTTGTATTTTATGGTTTTTTAATAAAAAACATTTTTGTATTATATTTTTCATTTATTTATTTACATATAATATTTATTTATTCATAGCGTTTGAAATGTTAAAACATTGTTTTTTTCTTCTTTTTGTTGTCTTGTCTTAAGTGTCAATCGTATTAATTATATTGCAGTTTTAAAGCTTGTTTTTAATTTAATGTCTTGTTTTTTTGCTGTTGTTGTTGCTTTTTGCTAATATTTATTAAAAATCATAAGTTTATAAACATTTAATACAAGTTAAGACATTTTAATAAAAATCAAATTAAACAGAAAAAAATAATAATGCGATTTGAAAAACAATGTTGTTAATATTTATTATTGATTATGTACATGTAGGAGTGCTGTCAGTGGGATTATTAAGGGTGTTGTTCATTTGGTTAGGAAAAATGAAAATGTTTCAAATCGTATTAAAAAAAGTTAAATGGAATTGAGTGTTTTTAAAAAGCTAAAGTTAATTAAAATTTCTAAATTCTTTTAGTATACAAGAATTTGAGTTGGACTGAATAATCGGGTTTTCGAGTATTATGAGTATTTTAGGTAAGATATTTAGGCTTTTGTCTTATTCTTAGGGAGTATAAATCTTTTAATTTCAGGTTTATGAATTGTTCCGATTTTCGCAGTACTTTTCCTCCATCAAAAATTTTACTTCCAAATTATTACTTCTAAGGAGGTTCATTCCTAATTTAGATGATAATTTTTTAATCTGTTATTTAAACTAGACGAAGGGAAGAACATGGATATTCTATATAATTTATTAATATCAGTCCGACGGAATACACTTAAAATATTCATCTTAGACTATCAGTGAAAGTTTTCATTGAGAAAGTCCATGTTTGACAAATACAGGGGCTTAGGAGAGTAATGACGGTGTACGACGATTGAGATTCAATATATTTAAACTGTACGGAAGCTGCAGGATCTATTAGTAAAACTCGTAAAAGCTTTGGGAATAGACTGAACTTTTTATAGCAAAAAAAAAAAAAAAAACCTGGAAACTTTAAGAAATTTTCGCACTATTTTTGGTAATAATCGATGGTTCAAAATCCCCTCAAATTGACGTAAATTTGAATTCCTAATGAAAAGAAAATAGACACAAAACTAGTCAATTGTGTGGTTCCTGGAAGGAAGAGATCAGTTCTTCTAGTTCTAACAATTAATGTGAAGGGACCATTGAAAGTAAAAAAGAATAAATAGTTCTTGAAATAGGTTATAGGAACTATCTATGTGTAGGTTACAAAATTTTGGGTTTTCCATTAAAAGTTGCAAAGATGCAATTTGTTTTTGACATTTCTCGAATGGGCGTGATATTGGCTTCGTGATTCTTTCTAAGTTTAGAAGCATCAGTCTATGCCAATTTAATTATGGAGATGTGATATATGTTTTAAGAAGGTTTGCAAATTATAAAATTTTTCTATCAAAGTTCATGCATTATTAATTGTGCTTTTAATTCAGCCTATTTTAGGCCATCGAAAATGTCGAAAGAGACAGGTTGTGGAGTTTTTTTTAGGTCGCTGGTATATGTCAATAGGCCAACAAAGTTAGAACAGCTTGAAATCAACATCGAACGTAAAATTCCAGATTTTTCTGCTGATTTATGTGCTTGAGTCATGGACAAATACGTCCATCACTCGTCCCAGCGCTTCCACGACAGACATTCCATAAATACAGACTCTGAAGGTATTCATTATCATTTGAATAACAGTAACAAGTAACAATTAACTGATCTGATTATAGTTCCATTATATTATTATTATATTTCTAAGACTAAAAATGCAATTTTATCATATTCTAATTCTAACGAAATAAAAAATTGTTCTTTTCGAAAAATATTAAATGTATTATTAAAGTTTTAAGTAATTAAACAAGCTGGGAGAATGATAAACATATTCATGGATATAGTAAGATTAAGTTCCGTCGGCCAAACTTGTTGGAACCAAAAACAAAATAGGTAAAAGTTTTAAGGTACTTGATTAAAAAAGCCGTCGGAAACTTAAATTCATTCCATTATCATTCATTTTGAAAAGATTTCGTCTCTTTATACCTACAGATCCAAAATTTGCTTTGCTGCAGAAATATTGGAATACATACTTGAAGACCTTTCTTTAATAGTTTTAAACTTACCTTAGGGGAGCTTCAGATTCATCATAACAACTACCACCATCCATATCGATATCTGAGCCCGTGCCACATGATAAACGGGAATCGGAATCAACGTCGACATGAATCTCTTGATCCTCAATGTCATCGCGATCATCTTCTTCATGTGAGGATGACATACTGGAGCTGTAGGGAGCCAACTTGCACAGTTTAAGCAAAAACTTTTAATAAAACAAAACTTTTTTTTATAAATTTTAAAATGTTTTTTAAACAAATAAACTTGTTTGTTGTATTAATTCCTTTAATTTTTATAAAATTTCTATTTATATTTTATAAATATCTGTTATTTTATTGCTAATTATTATTTTAAATAATTTTTTTGGAAATTAATTCATATTTTTTTGTTGTTAATTAATTTACACTTTTATTTTTTAAAACTTTAAAATAAGCCGACGCTTTATTGTTTTACAAAATTTTTAATTTCCAATTTTTTTTTTTAAATGCGTATCCGTAAAACTTTTCAAATATTAATCCGTTTAATTTAAATAGATTTTTGACGGTTTATTTTTTTGTGTTTTTGTATTAAATTGATACTTTTCTGTTTTGGGGGCAAATAGAAGAAAAACCGTTTAACATTTAAGCGCTTTAACGAACTCGACAAATTGAGGTGTTAACGCCAACTGAATGTTCAACTTCCCCGTTGCAAAACATTAACCGACCGTAAACAGTTTAAACCACACACCACTATACTGCCACTACCAGCAGCAGCAACTACCAAATTGTATACTAATACCACTGTAACAACAACTACTTCCATCCATTTACTTACAAATCAACATTGAATCTTGTCTTGTTAGCAAGCTAATGATGTTTAAATATTATTGTTGTTGTTGTTTTTGGTATTTTTCGTCTTGTTTAACTACCACCACCATCGTTGTAGTTTAAAAAAAGGCAAAAGAAAAAAAAAAAACACCAACAATCGTCATCATCATTCACAAACACCGGCAGCTCTTTAGCTTGTTAGACCAGTTTAACTGCTTCCTTCCTTGCTTTAATAAGTATTGTTGTAGCTAATGTTGTTGTTGTGCTGTGAGTGCAGTTGAGTTAAACCTAACCTACGGTAATATAATGGCACTTGTTTTATGTAGGGTTTGTCCACATGTTGTATGTTTACATAGCAATTGTCTTATTACTCTGCACGAAAACTCCGCCTTCCATTTTACACACTAGAGAGAGTATTATTTGTCTCTGCTTTGATCAAGAGTAGTAAACAGGTTTATTTTTTCTACAAAAACTTGGCATCACTTTTTAATGTTAAAGGGGTGTTGCTTATTTGTTATTGGTTGTACGCAGGCGTGTAAATTTGTTTGTTGTTATTTAAAAGTTGTTTTTGTTTAACAAGCTAATGACCTGTATGTATGGCTTTTTATTTTAATAAGGGGTAGTGGTTTTTGTTGTAGTAGTTGTTGGCGTTTATTTTTAAATACTTCTTATTGAGTGTTATTGCCTGCATTTATTTGGTTATTGTGTATTCGGGGAACGTTTATCCATTAATGGAATTTGGGAATTCAATTTTTGACAAAATTTTCGTACAGGTTATTTATTTTATGAAACAAAGGAAAGAAAAATAGTTTTACAATAGTTGTGTTTTGTTGCTATCAATGAGTGTTAACGCTTAAAGTTAGCAAACAAAACGAACATTACCTGACTTGGTATCACTCCACAGAAGAAATCTGCTAAATCTTAAAATTATTTACATTTTCTTAAAAAAGGTTTTTTTATTTGATATTTTTTTTTATTTAAATTTTATTTTAAAATATTTTTTTATTGTTTGACATAAACACATTAATATTTGTATTTTTATTTTTGAATTGGTAGCACTTTTATCGACGTTAAAATTAACTTGTATAATTTTACACGTTAACTCCTAACGTTTATAAATTTTAAATTTATATGAAATTGCCTTTGAACGTTAGCAACAAAACACAACTAATAATATTATGTTTTTTAAAAAGATTTTAAATTTTTTGCAAGTCTGATGATACAACTTTTGCAAGAAGCAACAAGGATTAAATATTGACCGAGGCATAGTCGGGCATGGCCGATCATATTATACCCTACACCAGCGAGTATGTGTATTTAAGTGGTTTTTTACCTTAATACGGAAATATTTTAGCAATTTGTCTACAAAAAAGTGATTTCTGAAAGAGCAAGGGTAAATATAGGTCTATCCTTACAAATTTTTATAGATTAATGTTATTCATGCATAATTTCTATTGATTTTTGTAGAGAAACTAAAGTATGTAGGTGTAATAATGGATCGATTTCAACCTTTTTCAATAGGCTTCGTCCTTGGGTCCAGAGAAGAGTATGTGGGTGAATCCATATCAAAACGGACAGAAAACAGCAATTTTCGGATTTACCATCTCCGATTTTAATGAAATTTCCCACATATTTTATGGTTTGAAAGTGTTCCCTAAATCAATGAATTTTTGATCGGTATCCCGTTCCAGACCAAAAATATCGCGCTTTGAAAATTTAAAAATATGTTAAAATTGTCTAAAAGTATATACATATAATTGCCCATAACTTTGAAATTCCTTTAAGTACAGGATAATTTTTAATTTCGTTATAAAGCCAAAGATATTCGCTTGTATTTATAAAAAAATCTTATTTTGCTTTTAATGCACTCAATAGTTAAAGCACACTTTAGCCTTAAAAACCATTAATAAAATTGTGATATTCATAAACAAATAATAAACGTACATTAACTATTGTGCTGATTTATGTTTAAGTTGGCAGCACTGTACAATATGGCTGTCATTTTATGTGTTAGTGTTGCGTACAATTAGGATAAAATATTCGTTGATTCGGTTTTCTTAATTTCATATTTTTGTTTATAATAGATTTTTGACAATAAAAACAAACTTTTAAGAAAAATAAATATATATATGGCTTTAATAAATGTCTATTTAGTTCAGATGTATAAATATAACATATAATTTCTAATTATTATTAAAAGTATCCGAATAACGGATATTTTGCGACAAAATATACATCACTATGACACATTTTCTTATTTTTACTTATTTTCCTTGTAATTTTTGATAAATTTTTGCAAATATTGATAAATTTCTTTGATATTTGACTAATTTTAATGCCGGCGAATATATTTTGCATTAGTATAACACTAATCAATATAATTTACATGGCATTATATTTAACCAACAAACTTTGAAAAAGCCAAATCAAATGATTTTGTCCATCATTTGATTGACAGACGGGCACTTCCAAATTGCCTAAAAATAGTGCTGGACAATTGGAATATTGTCAAATATTCATGCATTAATCCAATAATGCCTAGATTTGAGTTTTTTCCTCAAAATATAATCGTTTAAAAATTTTCTGGGATTTTATTTACAAATTTGTAAACGTTAAAATTAGAATTTTTAGATTTTATTTTAAAAGAAACCATAATTAGTTTTCGCAATCAACCTAAAATTACCGGAAAAATCTTTATCTGAGAAAAAAATTGTTAAAAATCAACTTATTGTTGGCTTAAAGAGGGGTCGAGCCTACAATAAAATTCTTCTAATTGTCAATGGTTTATTGAAGGTGTTTTAAGCTATTTCACGTTTATAAATACGATTTTCCTGAATTTTGCCTAAAATTGTTTAATAAACCTAAAATAAGTTTTTATAAATACAGCCGATTGTCTTTAAAATCGTGTAAATAAAATATTTTACTTCCAAAAGGTTAAGGGTCAATTTTTATAGTGTATTTTTCAATTCCAAATATATCAGACAGCTCCGTATTAAAAATTATAAAAGGACATGGTATGAGGATACCTGTACTCTCTTCTATATTTTAGTGAAATTTTTTCGATGGAGACTCGTGTAGTTCAGGAGTTATTAACCAAAACGTCATTTAAAGCAAGTTTTTTTTATACAAAATCGTATGAAAAATTAAACAAACAGAAAAAAATACAAAGTGGAATCAATTCAATTTATATGGAAAATGCTATGTATCTCTTAAACTGCAGGACCAATTTAAATAATATATACAAGAAAATTATTAAGAACGATTTAACCTTACTGAAAAATTATCTTGTTACCGCCGTGTTAAAATACAAGGTGAGGTACGTGGTGTTAAATGAGAGTACTTCGATTATAAAAAAATATTAAAGCTTCACAAATCTGCAAATAAGGACCGATTTGGCTGAAGTTAAATTTTTCTTATAGTAGACATTATGGGTATTATAAAACTTAATGGTAGTATTAAGTTATAAGTAAAATTGAAAAATTATTTTAGTTTAATTGTTTAACTTTTGTTTACTACTTTATTTAAATTATATCTCTTAAACCCTTAAATTTAATTAGTATTGCAATATGGATCTAGCTTTACTGTGTTGTATAGATTACGAAAAGTTTATGATCAGTTAAATTTGATCTCATTTATAGATGATAGAAGCTTTAAAATAATTTTTGAAGTCGAAGAGTTAACTTCTTAAACGCTGTTTTCCACCTTTTATTTTAATATTGTGATGACAAAGGATACCTCCAGTAAGGCCTGATCGTCCTTCATAATTTTCTTGCACATTTCATTTAAATCGGACCAGTGGTTTATGAGATACAATGTAATTTACCATATAAATTGAAATTGATTCTAATCTATATTTTTTCTGTTTGTTTAATTTTTCATACAATTTTGTATAAAAAACTGGTTTTAAATTACGTTTTGGTTAATAACTCCTGAACTACACGAGTCTCCATCGAAAAGTTTTCACTTAAATATAGAAGAGAGTTTAGGTATTCTCATACCATGTATTTTTATAATGTTTAACACGGGGCTGTCTGACCTATTTGACATTGAATTATACACTATGAAAATTGACCTTTAACCTTTTGGAAGTGAAATATTCTGTTTACACGATTTTAAAGACAAGATCTTTTTCTTTAATATGAAATCAAAAATTATGTTGGACTTTAAGTAGTTTCAGAGTTACGGGCAATTATGTGTATGTACTTTTAGGAAATTTTAACATATTTTTCAATTTTCAAATCGCGATATTTTTACATTGGAATGAGATTCCACTCAAAAAGTCAATGATATGTAGAACATATTATATATATTATATGTGTGGTAAGTTTCATTAAAATCGGAGATGGTAAATCCGACTGCTGTCCGCTTTCACATGGATTCTCC